GCCCAGGCGGATGTCTAGCATGAGGATGTGTTGAGGATGTGTTGAGCGAAACGCTTGGTTTCACGTGTCCAGGTCGCCTAGGTAGATGTCTAGCATGAGAAGATGTTGAGGACGTCTCGAGCAAAACTCTTGTTTCGCGTGTCCAGGTCGCCCAGGCGGATGTCTAGCATGAGGATGTGTTGAGCATGTGTTGAGCGAAGCGCTTGGTTTCACGTGTCCAGGTCGCCCAGACAGATGTCTAGCACGAGGAGGTGTTGAGTAAGTCTCGAGCGAGACGCTTGGTTTCACGTGTCCACGTCGCCTAGGCGGATGTCTAACATGAGGATTCGTTGAGGATGTCTCGAGCGAAACGCTTGTCGCAGTAGAGTGCGTCGCAGTCCAACCCGGCCCGTCCGTGGGGTGTACCCTGGCGCCCTGGCGCGCCCCCTGGCGCGTCCCTTGCGACGTTCAGGCTTGACGTGCCCTGGCACGTCCCCTAGCACGCCACTCGGCGTGGCACGTTCCCTGGCTCGTCCTCTATCGCGTTTCCTTGCTCGTCTCCAGGCGTTTCCCCTGTCCGTTCCGTGGCGGGCCCCTGGCAACGTCCTTTGGCATGACGTCCTCTGGCCGACCCATGGCACGCGCTTTAGCACGTCCCGTGGCAGGTCGCTGACACGTCCAGGGCACGTCCCCTGATGCGTCCCCTGACACGTCCTCTGGCGCATCCCCTATTGCGCCCCTGGCACATCCTGTGGCGCGTCCGTGAGCCTGTGCCCCGTGTCGTGTCGTTCCTTTGAGGAGCTGAGTCGGATTTTGAGGTCGAGTTGATTGAACGTATTCTGCGTTTTTAATTTAACTAGCTCTGGGTCGGCTACTATGTGCTCAGGCAGCTCGAGCTTAAGATCCAGACCAGTTCGGTCAGGACTCGAATGCCAAGGAGGACTCGATCCACAACGCTATGGAGCACAATCGCGGCATGGCATATCGCAGTTCAGCACGGCACAGCACAGCACAGCCCTGGGCATGGTACACCAAGATCGATACACTAATCATTGCAATTGCCCGTCGTCCAATCATGTGTCTTGGAATCGTTGCGATGTTTTGCATTTCCGTATCCCTTTCCGGGTTCGTGGGTCGATCATGTATTACGTGTCCGAGGACCCCCCACAAATTTTGAGAACCCTCCCAGGTAATGGCAACCAGGGCGGTTTTCGGCTCCCCCCCCCCCTCGCGCGGACTTCAACAATTCACAGTAGGAAGCGGAGTACAGAATTGTAACATCGGAGACTGGAAATTGGAACGGGATCAGGGAGCAGCAAGCCTAAGCCGCGGATCCTGATGGCCCCGCAAGGGGGCTGGCGGATTTCTGGATCCGCGATGTCCAGTGGCAAATTAGACGCAAATGGCATCAGCGAGGGCGTTCCACGCTTGCTCCCATACTTAGTCTTTTCTTGGAGCCCCACAAGACGAGGGGGACGAGGCTGAGAAGAAGGAGGAGTAGGAGGAGGAGGAGGAGGAGGTGGATGAGGACGAGGAGGAAAGTGAAGAGGGGACGGGGAGAAGCAGGTGGGGAGGAGAAGGAGGAGGAGGAGGAGGAGGAGGAGGAGGAGGAGGAGGATGAGATTGAGGCGGTGGAGGAGGAGGAGGATGAGGATGAGGATGAGGATGAGGAGGAGGATGAGGAGGAGGATGATGAGGAGGAGGAGAAGGAGGAGGAGGAGGAGAAGGAGGAGGAGGAGGAGGAGGAGAAGGAGGAGGGCCACGGGAAGGAGTCGGCCACCGCCACCGTGCTGAGTTCTTATGCCAGAGGAAGCTGGACGAGGCGCAGAAGGGACTGTTCCGCAACATGATCGACGACGAGCGCCCTTGCTACGCTTCTCTTGCTGAGGCTTCCAGGCCTCGCGAAGCAGAGCCTCACGACGGGCGCCTTCTCCGCAATGCGGGCCTCCGGGGGGGCGTTCGAGGACCTCCAGGAGATACGCAAGGCAGGGGGACCCGAGACGAATCACCAGTCCCGCTGATGGCGGCGAGAGCTCCGAGGGGCTCACGCTGCGATCGCATATCGAGGCGCAGCACTTCCTCGCGGCCGCTTTCAGGCCTCTTCCGAGGGCGAGCATCAGGCGATCGCAAACATGGATCAAGGTGGCGTGGATTAGCGACGGGTCCCTTTTCTATGGGACATCGCGGACTTCCGCCGCCGAGCGAGGTGGCACCGGCCGCATTTTGGGGAGGGCACCTCCCCCGATTCATGGAGTTGGCGACCGCGCGCCAGATCCATGGATCGCTAATCCATGTTTGCGCGCCCGACCCCAAGGACCATCCTCCCTCCGTCCCTCCTCCTATTTGTTTTGCGCATTTGTCTCGCATTGCATGCTGTCCAGACACGCCAGATTCCCGAGGCCACGGCCCCGCCCACCCGGTCGCTGTCCGCAACGGTGGTCACATCGCATCGCATCGCATCGCATCGAGAGCAGAGATCGGGGAGGTCTCCTAGGTCACTCGCGGGTGCGCGCAGCTGGCCTGCCCCTCGCGTGTCGCGGCCTGGGCTGGACATCCGCCCTTCTCTGCAGGGGGCGGGCCGCGGGGGGCGCGAAGGTGACCGGTGCGCGACGCGAGGTGACCCAGAGGCAGGTTTTCTGGCATCGCTCTTTCTCGTCGCCTTTCCCCCTGCGTCGTTCCAAGGTTAGGGGGACGAAGCATGACACGAACATGAAAACTCCGAGGTTCGCGCGGATTTCTCCGATCGGCGCTGGGCCCCCCGTTGCGGCGCCTCCGGCGCCGCCACTGGCGCGCTCCGCGCGCCAGGAAGGGTGGTCCAGAGCGGATCCACTTTTCGGTTCCCTACAAGTGCCCCTTCCTGCCCGAGGCTGTCACCTCAGCGCTCCAAGAGGCACACAGAAGCTCAAGCGTGCTCACCCTCTCTGGATATGCACCCGCGAAGGTGCACACTCTCGTGTGCACAAGTCTGGATGGGCACGTGCACGCACCCGCACACGCGTTTTCGTTTGATTCGCGGCGACCGGTGCGGTAGCCAGCGCCCCAGCGCGTTGCCGACTTAGGCGGGCACTTTTGGCAGCTGCGCAGTGCGGCGCGCAGCCAAGGAGGCGAGTTCAGCTGCGCTGCCCCCAGCGCAGCGCAGGTTGCCGAGGAGGAGCAGGGCCTGCCCGCGCGCTGGCAAGCGGTCCCTTCTATCCAGGCACGCACCTCCCATCGTGGCCGCCGCGGTCTCGGCGCCGCCACCCCAGCGAAGGCAGCAGACCCGGCTGGGCCCGTGCGCGAGGGAGTGGGACCACCACGCGCGCCCCGCGACGGCGAGCATGGCCCCTCCGCTGACGGGCTCGTCGCTGGCGCGCCGGGCACAGCAGCCGAGGCCGCTGCCTGCGGCAGTGGCGCCGTTGCCAGCAGCTCGCGCTCTCCGCGGCGGGGGCGCACCACCTCGCGCGGCTAGAGAGGTCCGCAGACGGAGCCAGCCTCGGCAGGAGTGTGCGTCTGTCGTCGTAGCGTCTCTCTTTTGCTGCGGGTGGCGCGCGGGCGGCTTTCGCGGCTGCTCGAGTCGTGCGAGTGCCTACTTTTCCTTCGGGCCATCCTAGGTGCCCTGATTGGTCTCTTGGGGCCATCTTTGAAGGTTCCGTCAAAGAAGGGGGGGAGGCGGCATTTCGCGTCGCCCCGTCGGGGGCCGAACCCTTTCCTCTTGAAGAGCTTGTCGGCGCTCGTGGTCGCTCTTGGGACCGCATTGTCTTTATCGGCCCCTCTCTTTCCTGGGCAGCATTGAGGCCGCCTTGAGGCTTCAGGGAGCCCGTCGGAGACGGAAAGACGACAAGCAAGCACGCATTGAAACAACATAAGGTCTTACGACTTCTTGCGGGTTCTGGCGCGCTTCGTGGTTGCTTGAAGTCGTCTAGGGGCATCTACTACTACCATAGCCCCCGCAGTTGCGGATAAGAGTGAGTGGGCGGCGAGATCGTTGGCAGTCTGCGAGGCTCTGGGGAAGCAGGGGCGCCGCTGTATTACACAACGAGCCCGCCGCAGGCGCCAAAATTCAGTTAACGCACGTGATCGGGTCGCGGGTGGGGTCGCGGGTCGGTAGCGGGTGTGTCGTTGGGTGAGTTGCGGGTGGGACGACGACGACGACGACGACGACACCAAACAACAAACAATAAGCAAGTGCGGACTCCCACTTCAGTCACGCACCCAGGGAAGGTGTAAAAATGTTCGGCCCTCTCAATGTGATGCTAAGACGTTGAGCCATGTGGGGCGGCATATTGAACTATTTGGGCTATTTTCAGCCACGCTGACCCAAATGTTTGTTTTTGCAGTATCCACCAAGAGTTTGGTCCCACCCAGGCTTGTGAGGCCACGCTCACCCCCATTTTTTAATGATCTTGCTCTTCCGCATCCCTGACCGAGTGCTGGAGGGATGCCAAGCAGCTCCTTTTCAAAACTTGGAGGTGGACAGACCTCCTGCCCTGACACGTCGATTAAGGGATTGTCCGTTTTCGGTTCGCGAGAGGGCGTCGCGGCCGTCATTTTTGCGGGTCCAGGTCCGTCGGTTTCGGTCCCAGGCCGCTTTCGCTAAAGGGAGGTTTACTGAAGGGAGGTCTGTCCACCGCCGAAAAGCGGGGCCTTCGCCAGGACGGCAGGCCCATCTGGTGCTGGTCTTTCAGAGGAGGGCGGGGCGCTTCTTGTGGCGACAAGGCAGTCTTGCAGGGATGTATGGGGAGGGAACTTGGGACAGGAGGACGTAACGGAGTATCGCTCATGAATCTTGGGCTTGCCATCGTCCTCCTCAGAGGAGGGGGAGCGAGGAACGAGGCCTCCCGCCGCCAGAGGCCGCTGGAGGCTCCGGAGGCTCAGGGTCAAAAGCGTCCAGAAACCTCGATCCTCGATCCTCGATGCTTCTCCTGCTCCTCCTCTTGTTCCTTGCCCTCCTCCCTTCGCCGAGGTACCTCGTGAACTGGATCGTGGACAACCTCCCGGCCGCCACCCGCTACGTGCGAACCGGCAGCGGCGGCGATAGCATCATGTACATGAACGGCTTCCCGGTGGGCGTCCAGAAGGACGGAAGGACAGCGCAGCTTTTCGCGCCGAGGAGGAGGAGGAGGTGAAAATCTGTTAGGAGCTTTTTTAAGAGAAGGCGATGGCACTTGAGCCAAACAGTTGCGGCCAACGACCAACATGCACCATTGGAAATCCTAAACAACGTTCTCTACAAGATCCTTGACAGATCATGCTTCCCCAGTCGGAACGCTACAATCTAACAACCCCCTCGGCTGATAAGCCGAATGTGGAGACGGGTGAGATGGAAGCAGCAAAAGCGGTTGAGTAATAAACACGTAGTCAGTGCAAGTATGAAAAAGTCAAAAACCGAGTCTCCGACTCAGCAAGGCAAGTAGCATGTGAGATCAAGAGCGTGCGCAACTGGCACAGGCAAAAGGCGACTAAGATTAGGGCATAAACGTGCAGGGGCCGCCTTGCACGCGATACGCTATCTTTTCAGTGTCGCAAAGTGCCGAGTTACGCATAATCATTCTATAGGCTTACGCCACATCCGCCGACCCCTTGTATTTCTAGATTCCGCATCTGGTGCGTTCAGAAAGCTCTAGGCTTCCGGTTTCTGCGTCCGGAACGAAGCTTTGGACTTGCAGAGAGATGTGTGGTATAGGGGAGACTTCACCGATTGGCTCGTGGCAGTGCCGACGTCCTGCGGTGAGGTGCACATGTTGTGTTGCCCCGAAGATCAGCTGTGCGACAGGGGATGCCAGGAGCAAGGATCGGTTTGTCCCGACTTCACGGTGCCTCTGCGCGCGGAGTGCAAGGTAGAGGTGGACATGCCATATCGGTAGCGAACCGCTGCGATCCCGGCAGTTCCGCGCCGCAGTCTTGCGAATGATTTGATGGCGTTCTATGCGCCAGGTCGGATGTGCACAGAAGGCATGACAGTGATGGAGATGATCTGCTGCAGCCCGTGCATTACGTCGATGATTTGCTGTTCGTTAGAGGTGAAGTTTCAGGGCGACCAAGTAAGCAGTAAGGGCAGGGAGAATCTGTTTGACAGCGCCGCAAGGTTCCAGAACGGGCGTGTGGCAGCGCGAGGGAATGCCACGAGCTTCGTGCTACCGTGGCAGGGGATATTGCGAGAGCTCCGTCAGCTGGAGAAGGAAGGGCGCGAGGGAAGCGACTCGGTGGTGCCGATCGTGGGTGATAGGTTGGGGTCGGTGGTGCAGACCCTTCTGAAAATCAACGACGCCACTGCCAAGGACAACTTGCCGCGTTTCATACGTGGAGCGAACGTGCGGCGCGAAGTTGTGAAGCGCCACGTCAAAATGATGAAGCAGCGCGGGCACCGGGCCTGCGCGAACGTCAACGTGGAGGCGATGGAGAGAAAGGCCGAGCAGCTACTGAAGGACGGCGTGCCACCAGAGATTGTCCGGCTGCTGCCGCGCGACACAACGTTGGACAAGCTCATGGTGCAGAAGAATGCGACGCCTTGTGATGGGGCGCGAGATTCTGTGGGAGCGGCTGCGCGCGACATGGACTTGCGTTCGCCGAATGCCGTCATGATGGAGAAGTCGTCTGTGGACGAAGTGGACGCGAACAAGTTGAGGCAGGGTGCGTTTGAGCATGTGTCCGGCAGGTTGCCTGCAGGGCACGAGGCCCCCGGTCCAGGCGCGATGGTGGTCGTCCAGGCAGGCGCAATGGCAATGGAAGCCAGAAGCTTCGCTCTGCGTCTGGCAAGTGCATGGGCGGGTAGGTGTGACAGGCCGGAGTGCCCGCGCGGTGGAGATAGAGACGAGCGCGCCCTTGCAAGTTCGAGCAGAATGGGGGGGAAGGCGGGCAATGCTGAAATGAAGACACTGCAGTTCCCGCTTTGGGAGATGCTGGACACGGACGCGTCCCGCATTCGGTCCGTGGTGTATCCAGGGCGCGCGATGATGAATCAGTTTGTTCCGTGGTTTTTCGATGTGGCGTTTCCGTTCTGTTGTAAGTATGGGGCGGGGATGCCAGACATACCTGAGTGGCAGGAAAATGCACGGCATCGACGTGGGCCAGCGGCGCTCCGCGTGGAATTGGCTCTGTGGGCGCGCATCATGTCGCGTCGGGTGGAGTCTCAATTCCGGCGTGAGTTGCGTTTTGGGTTTACTGTGTCGTCGGTCTTGTTTCAAAGTTCCGTGAATGTGGCCCGGTCCGTCCGGTTGGCGGACCGCAGAAAAGGGCGGGGAGGCGGATTGCCAGTATTCGCAAGGTGGGCTCGAGAAGGCAGCCGTGAGCATCGTAGATGCCTTGTATGGTACGTACAAGGATCCGTCAACCGGGAAGTCCACGAACGTGCGCGGAGATTTCTCGAAGCTGAGGCACGTGCAGTCGCTTGACCCGATAGCGAAGCGACTGGCTGCAAGGGCCAGCGCGGCCGCTCGCAATATTGAAGGGGCGAACGAGGTGCGGACGCTCATGAGGTACGACGCCCATTCTGCTCGGGGTGCGTTTTTTGTTTTTTTTTTTTTGTCTCCCCCCCCCCAACCATCCTGTGGTGTTGGGTCCTCGTTTTGAAGAGACGGTGCCCCGCGTCTCCTCCTCTCCTCCTCCTCCCCCTCCTCCTCCCTCCTCCCCCTCTTCCTTGCGTTTCACCCGCCCAGTACAGCGTTTCGTAGCCCCATAGGGAGCTCCGCCGAAGGCCCCAGTGCTGCCGCCCGCATGCGTCCCGCACACCCAATTCGGCACACCCCTCACACGTTTCGTGGCCCCATAGGGAGCCCACCGAAGGCCCCAGTGCTGCCGCCCGCATGCGTCCCGCACACCCAATTCGGCACACCCCTCACACGTTTCGTGGCCCCATAGGGAGCCCACCGAAGGCCCCAGTGCTGCCGCCCGCATGCGTCCCGCACACCCAATTCGGCACACCCCTCACACGTTTCGTGGCCCCATAGGGAGCCCCACCGAAGGCCCCAGTGCTGCCGCCCGCATGCGTCCCGCACACCCAATTCGGCACACCCCTCACACGTTTCGTGGCCCCATAGGGAGCCCCACCGAAGGCCCCAGTGCTGCCGCCCGCATGCGTCCCGCACACCCAATTCGGCACACCCCTCACACGTTTCGTGGCCCCATAGGGAGCCCCACCGAAGGCCCCAGTGCTGCCGCCCGCATGCGTCCCGCACACCCAATTCGGCACACCCCTCACACGTTTCGTGGCCCCATAGGGAGCCCCACCGAAGGCCCCAGTGCTGCCGCCCGCATGCGTCCCGCACACCCAATTCGGCACACCCCTCACACGTTTCGTGGCCCCATAGGGAGCCCCACCGAAGGCCCCAGTGCTGCCGCCCGCATGCGTCCCGCACACCCAATTCGGCACACCCCTCACACGTTTCGTGGCCCCATAGGGAGCCCCACCGAAGGCCCCAGTGCTGCCGCCCGCATGCGTCCCGCACACCCAATTCGGCACACCCCTCACACGTTTCGTGGCCCCATAGGGAGCCCCACCGAAGGCCCCAGTGCTGCCGCCCGCATGCGTCCCGCACACCCAATTCGGCACACCCCTCACACGTTTCGTGGCCCCATAGGGAGCCCCACCGAAGGCCCCAGTGCTGCCGCCCGCATGCGTCCCGCACACCCAATTCGGCACACCCCTCACACGTTTCGTGGCCCCATAGGGAGCCCGCCGAAGGCCCCAGTGCTGCCGCCCGCATGCGTCCCGCACACCCAATTCGGCACACCCCTCACACGTTTCGTGGCCCCATGAAGGCCCCAGTGCTGCCGCCCGCATGCGTCCCGGCAATTCGGCACACCGCACACCCAATTCGGCGTTTCGTGGCCCCATAGGAAGCTCCACCGAAGGCCCCAGTGCTGCCGCCCGCATGCGTCCCGCACGCCCAATTCGGCACACCCATCACACGTTTCGTGGCCCCATAGGGTGCTCCACCGAAGGCCCCAGTGGCGGCGCTCACACGCGCATGCGTCCCGCATACCCATTTCGGCACATCCCTGACAGGTTTCGTGGCCCCATCCACCGGGGGCCCCAGTGGCGGCGCTCACATGCGTCACCCACACCCACCCAATTCGGCACACCCCTCACACGTTTCGTGGCCCCATAGGGAGCTCCACCGAAGGCTCCAGCGGCCGCGCTCACATGCGTACCCGCCACCCATCCCAGCACGCCCCTCACAACAACAGGTTTCGTGGCCCCATAGGGAGCTCCACCGAAGGCCCCAGTGGCACCGCCTGCATGCGTCACCACCCGCACCCAATTCGGCACACCCCTCACACGTTTCGTGGCCCCATAGAGAGCTGCACCGAAGGCCCCAGTGGCGGCGCTCACATGCGTCCCCGCCACACATCCCAGTACACCCCTCACGCGCTTCGTGGCCCCATAGGGAGCTCCACCGAAGGCCCCAGTAGCGGCGCTTACATGCGTCTCCGCCACCCATCCCGGCCCCCCCCCCCGCAGCAGCATCATGTTTCGGGGACCCATAGGGAGCTCCACTGGAGGCCCCAGTGGCGGCCTGCACATGCGTTTCCGCCACCCATGTCGGCACGCCCCGCGCGTGTTTCATGTCCCCATAGGGAGCTTCGCCGAATGCCCCAGTGGCACCCATCTCGGCACACCCCTCACACGTTCCGTAGTCCTATGGGGAGTTCCATTGAAGATGAAACCCGCAGCTGCGGTACTGACAACTGCATATGGTTGGGTTCTTCGCCAGGCTAATTTTTTTCCCAACCATCCTGTGGTGTTGGGTCCTCGTTTTGAAGAGACGGTGGCCCGCGTCTCCTCCTCTCCTCCTCCCCCCCCTCCTCCTGCCACACCCATTTCGGCACACCCCTCACGCGTTTCGTGGCCCCATAGGGAGCCCCACCGAAGGCCCCAGTGCTGCCGCCCGCATGCGTCCCGCACACCCAATTCGGCACACCCCTCACACGTTTCGTGGCCCCATAGGGAGCCCCACCGAAGGCCCCAGTGCTGCCGCCCGCATGCGTCCCGCACGCCCAAGTCGGCACACCCCTCACACGTTTCGTGGCCCCATAGGGAGCCCCACCGAAGGCACCAGTGCTGCCGCCCGCATGCGTCCCGCACACCCAATTCGGCACACCCCTCACACGTTTCGTGGCCCCATGGGGAGCCCCACCGAAGGCCCCAGTGCTGCCGCCCGCATGCGTCCCGCACACCCAATTCGGCACACCCCTCACACGTTTCGTGGCCCCATAGGGAGCCCCACCGAAGGCCCCAGTGCTGCCGCCCGCATGCGTCCCGCACACCCAATTCGGCACACCCCTCACACGTTTCGTGGCCCCATAGGGAGCCCCGCCGAAGGCCCCAGTGCTGCCGCCCGCATGCGTCCCGCACACCCAATTCGGCACACCCCTCACACGTTTCGTGGCCCCATAGGGAGCCCCACCGAAGGCCCCAGTGCTGCCGCCCGCATGCGTCCCGCACACCCAATTCGGCACACCCCTCACACGTTTCGTGGCCCCATAGGGAGCCCCACCGAAGGCCCCAGTGCTGCCGCCCGCATGCGTCCCGCACACCCAATTCGGCACACCCCTCACACGTTTCGTGGCCCCATAGGGAGCCCCACCGAAGGCCCCAGTGCTGCCGCCCGCATGCGTCCCGCACACTCACAATTCGGCACACCCATGCTCACACGTTTCGTGGCCCCATAGGGAGCCCCACCGAAGGCCCCGGTGCTGCCGCCCGCATGCGTCCCGCACACCCAATTCGGCACACCCCTCACACGTTTCGTGGCCCCATAGGGAGCCCCACCGAAGGCCCCAGTGCTGCCGCCCGCATGCGCCCCGCACGCCCAATTCGGCACACCCCTCACACGTTTCGTGGCCCCATAGGGAGCCCCACCGAAGGCCCCAGTGCTGCCGCCCGCATGCGTCCCGCACACCCAATTCGGCACACCCCTCACACGTTTCGTGGCCCCATAGGGAGCCCCACCGAAGGCCCCAGTGCTGCCGCCCGCATGCGTCCCGCACACCCAATTCGGCACACCCCTCACACGTTTCGTGGCCCCATAGGGAGCCCCACCGAAGGCCCCAGTGCTGCCGCCCGCATGCGTCCCGCACACCCAATTCGGCACACCCCTCACACGTTTCGTGGCCCCATAGGGAAGCTCCACCGAAGGCCCCAGTGCTGCCGCCCGCATGCGTCACGCACACCCAATTCGGCACACCCCTCACACGTTTCGTGGCCCCATAGGGAGCTCCACCGAAGGCCCCAGTGGCGGCGCTCACATGCGCATGCGTCCCGCATACCCATTTCGGCACATCCCTGACAGGTTTCGTGGCCCCATCATCCACCGGAGGCCCCAGTGGCGGCGCTCACATGCGTCACCCACACCCACCCAATTCGGCACACCCCTCACACGTTTCGTGGCCCCATAGGGAGCTCCACCGAAGGCCCCAGCGGCCGCGCTCACATGCGTCCCCGCCACCCATCCCGGCACGCCCCTCACAACAACAGGTTTCGTGGCCCCATAGAGAGCTCCACCGAAGGCCCCAGTGGCACCGCCCGCATGCGTCACCACCCGCACCTAATTCGGCACACCCCTCACACGTTTCGTGGCCCCACGAAGGCCCCAGTGGCGGCGCTCACATGCGTCCCCGCCACACATCCCAGTACACCCCTCACGCGCTTCGTGGCCCCATAGGGAGCTCCACCGAAGGCCCCAGTAGCGGCGCTTACATGCGTCTCCGCCACCCATCCCGCCCCCCCCCCCCCGCAGCAGCATCATGTTTCGGGGACCCATAGGGAGTTCCACTGGAGGCCCCAGTGGCGGCCCGCACATGCGTTTCCGCCACCCATGTCGGCACGCCCCGCGCGTGTTTCATGTCCCCATAGGGAGCTTCGCCGAATGCCCCAGTGGCACCCATCTCGGCACACCCCTCACACGTTCCGTAGTCCTATGGGGAGTTCCATTGAAGATGAAACCCGCAGCTGCGGTACTGACAACTGCATATGGTTGGGTTCTTCGCCAGGCTGATTTTTGAAGAGACGGTGCCCCGCGTCCTTCTCCTCCTCCTCTCCTCCTCCTCCCCCTCCTCCTCCCTCCTCCTCCCTCTCCTCCCTCCTCCCTGCGTTTCACCCACCCATTACAGCGCTTCGTGGCTCCATAGGGAGCTCCACCGAAGGCCCCAGCGGCAGGTCCGCATGCTCCATTTCGGCGCACCCCTCACAGGTCCCTGCAGTGGCAGGGTCCGCATGCAGTTCCACCTCCATTTCGGCGCACCCCTCACACGTTTCGTGGCCCCATAGGGTGCTCCACCGAAGGCCCCAGTGGCAGGGTCCGCATGCAGTTCCACCTCCATTTCGGCGCACCCCTCACACGTTTCGTGGCCCCATAGGGTGCTCCGCCGAAGGCCCCAGTGGCAGGGTCCGCATGCAGTTCCACCTCCATTTCGGCGCACCCCTCACACGTTTCGTGGTCCCATAGGGTGCTCCACCGAAGGCCCCAGTGGCAGGGTCCGCATGCAGTTCCACCTCCATTTCGGCGCACCCCTCACACGTTTCGTGGCCCCATAGGGTGCTCCACCGAAGGCCCCAGTGGCAGGGTCCGCATGCAGTTCCACTCCATTTCGGCGCACCCCTCACACGTTTCGTGGCCCCATAGGGTGCTCCACCGAAGGCCCCAGTGGCAGGGTCCGCATGCAGTTCCACCTCCATTTCGGCGCACCCCTCACACGTTTCGTGGTCCCATAGGGTGCTCCACCGAAGGCCCCAGTGGCAGGGTCCGCATGCAGTTCCACCTCCATTTCGGCGCACCCCTCACACGTTTCGTGGCCCCATAGGGTGCTCCGCCGAAGGCCCCAGTGGCAGGGTCCGCATGCAGTTCCACCTCCATTTCGGCGCACCCCATCACACGTTTCGTGGCCCCATAGGGAGCTCCACCGAAGGCCCCAGCGGCAGGGTCCGCATGCAGTTTCACCTCCATTTCGGCGCACCCCTCACACGTTTCGTGGTCCCATAGGGTGCTCCACCGAAGGCCCCAGGGGCAGGGTCCGCATGCAGTTCCACTTCCATTTCGGCGCACCCCTCACACGTTTCGTGGCCCCATTGGGTGTTCCGCCGCGCACCTCTCACACGTTTCGTGGCCCCATAGGGTGCTCCGCGGAAGGCCCCAGTGGCATGGTCCGCAGGCAGTTCCATCCCCATTTCTTCGCACCCCTCACCACACGTTTCGTGGCCCTATAGGGTGCTCCGCCGAAGGCCCCAGTGGCAGGGTCCGCATGCAGTTCCACCTCCATCTCCGCGCACCTCTCGCACGTTCCGCGGCCCCATAGGGTGCTCCACCCAAGGCCCCCGTGGCAGGTCCGCATGCAGTCCCCCCTCCATGTCGGCGCACCCCTCACACGTTTCGTGGCCCCATGGACTGTTCCACTCAGGGCCCCAGTGGCAGGTTCCGCATGCAGTTCCCTCTCCATTTTAGCAAACCGTTTCCACGTTTCGCGGCCACCAGAGGCCCTGGTGGCAGCGCCCGCACGTGGTTCCACCCTGCATTTCCGCGCACCCCTCACACGTTTCGTGGCCTCAAATGGGGCTGCAACGACGGTTCCGGTGGCAGCGTCCGCATGGCGTACCCGTGCCAATTTTGGCACCCCCGTCACACGCGTCGTGGCCCCAGAGGGAGGTTCACCGAGGACGATACCCACACCTGCGTTACACACAGCTGCACATGGTTGGGTCCTTCGCCGGAATATTTGTTTTTTGTGTGTGTGTTTTCTCCTTCTTCTTCTTCTTCTTCTTCTACCATGTCCCTGGACGAGAGGCGCAACCTGCTCATTGTGCGGATGTCGCGGTCGCGAAAGACGGGCCCCGTGAATCGTCGTGCGGCGCGGGCGCTTCACGGCCCAGCGCGCGGTGGGTTGTGGGGGCCGTCGTTGGCGCACGTGGAAGACGCACCTGGAGATGCCGTGGCCAGGGGTTGGCGCGAGCAGGCGGGCGAGGGCGGATCGGGCGCAGAGGGGGCAGAGGGTGACGACGACGTGGACATGGCAGTGCCTGTGGAGATGCTGGCAGATGCTGTCCCCGCGTCGGACGAGAGAAGAGCATTCTAGCTCGGGACCCGCTGGCGGGCGTAGATGGGTTTCGGGTCATAGTGGGCCTTGTGTTCGAATATATTTTAGGCATGCGGTATTGTCCGAAGTGCCCATATTGCGAATGTGCGGACGTACTTGGCAGTAACGCAACGGCGGCGGGCGGGTGTTTGGGTCGCGTGGGCGGAGTGCACGGCAGCTTTGAAGCTCAGAAGTCGGCTGGAAGTTTGCATTTGCACGTGCAAGTCTTCGTTCAATGTTTGCAGCAGCGGTCCCCGTTGCATGGACTGATGCAATTGCCGCCAGACGTGCTCGCGAGACTGGTAGAGGAGTACAAGAGGTTCAAGAGAAACGCGAGTCGTCAAGAGTACGCTGACGTAGAAGGATGGAGGAGGAGGAACACGGAGGTGGAAAAGGCGCGGCCCACGTGCCAGGAAACGACGGATCTGGTCGCGGCGCCGGAGTACTTACACAACGGCTTCCCCTGCAAATCGACGAGCGACATTGCGAAGCGCGCGCCGGACTCTGGGGGGGCAGAACACGGGGGAGAGGTAATCGAGGATGGGCGAACGTGGCTGCAGGAGTACCTGGGCGTCTGGGTGCAAAAGGGGCAGGAGTTTCGACGGAACCACGTGCGCTAGTGGAGTAAGCGTTTGCAGCGCGTGGTGCCGTTGGCTCATTGTCAGAGAAAAGACGACATGACGCAGTGCAGAAGCTTTTTCTCGCGCACGTCGTGGCTGATAGATCGCGCAGTGGTGTTGTGCCGGGGCTTCTTAAGGGGCCGTGACATGCCGCGTGCAGGGGGAAGGAACATGACAGGGTGCTTGCACGGGCCCATGAACGAGGATAACCTGAACGGCACGCTGCCAGCGATGCTAAGCGGCGCAGTAGGGTTGAATTTCAACAGCGATTTGCAGAGCCCGCACAGGTTCCCCGTGACGGAATCCACTAACGATAGTTGTGTGTGCGAAGAGCGGTGCTGGGAGACGGATCGGCCGACAGACGTGGTCCCGGCAGCGCAGCGAGCGCAGAATGCAGCGGCGGGGTACGCGGCGGACAATCAGTGCAAACGGTGTGCCCCGTCGTTCAACGAGGTGAGGGTGATCAAAAAGGCCACCGCGCGCTGGCGGAGTAGACGGAGGACAGGGCCGCTGTGCACCGTGCGAACATGCACATGAAGAGGTTTCTCAGTGACATGTGCGGGAGAGGCGTGGTGCGGTCAGCGCAGGAAAGCGCGAATCTGCGAGCGTACAGGGACCCGAGAGACATGACCTGTGCCGAGAGTATCCAGACTGCGAAGACAGCCATGATCCCGGGAGCAGAAGCCGTGCGCGTGGCGGATCGGCTCTGTCCTGATGGCGACGGCGTGGCTGTAGCAGCGTCGGGAATTTTGGAAGCGGACCGAAGAGAAGGGTCGAACAATGTTCGAATCGTGTCGCAGAGTCCGGTGTGCTTGTATGGCGTGCGCCTGGTGGGCGCTCCTGGTGCTCCCGACTTGGCACGTTTATCTTTGTATGAGTTCTTGCGATGCTGGCGCGTAGAGCTGGCGGCATTTCCACGCAGCGGAGCAGAGATGGCAGCCGCGGCCAGCAATGAGTACCAGGCGGAGCTGACGCTGTCCGGGATTCAGAAGGTCCGCGAAGCGGACCAAGAGAGAGCGGGTGCTTTCAAAGGCGGGGCGCAGGCGGGGGCCCGATTGAAGGCCGGAGTGGATTGTGCGATTAAAGAAGGATGCGGGAGTTATTCGTGGGTTCCTTTCCCGGATGTTCCAGAGTTGGAAACTCTCAGGCGCGCGTGGGTGTTGGTGCGGAGCGAGCGCCCGACGAACCCGAGCTTTCATGGAGCGCCGCAGCCGAAGCACGGAGCGGGGGGGGAGGATAGGAACGGGCTCCTGTAGATGGTATATATTTCGGGCGTTCTCTCTGCGTGACGACGTGGATTGTGGAGTGCCGCGCCTGCGGGATCTCCGAGGACCGCGTGCGTCGTGGGCAGAGGCCTCGTTGGAGTGGCTGCAGAAAGGCATGCCATGTGAAGGGGGCAAAGAGTTACGTGCAGAACTACATGGGCGTGGTGGACTTGCGGCCCGTCGCGGACGAAGACCTCGTGAAGCACGAGGGCGAGCTGTATAGCGACGGGGAGTTGGGCCCGAGAATCGTGGATGCGGCGACGAGGCGGAAGACGCGCGTGGGGGGGGGGCGTCCATGGAGAAAGAGGACAGGCGGACAAACGCAGTTGCGGAGTCCGAGAACGCCAGAAGCCGGGAGGCAATGGCGCGGGGCGACGCCGTGTGGGGCGAGGGTCTGAGTCGAAAGAGCGGAAAGCGCAAGAAACGCGGGGATGACGGCAGTTTGAAGTGGGATGACGCGGCAGTGCAGAGAGCGCAGGCGGCGGCGGCGGCGTCGAGAGCCACAGAAGTAAGCGGCGCGGGGGAAGCGGAGAGTGCCCCAGGGGTGGTGGCGGGAAGACAGGCCACGGCGTCGAGCGTGCGGAAGTGGGGAAGCGGTCTTGCGGATGGCGGCTTGAGAGCGGGTCAGCGCAGCGTCGTTGAAAAGGTGGCAGATCGGGTGTTGGCGCAGGAGTTCGCGGGGCTCGCGAGGGGCAGGTGGACAGGCCAGAGTCGTTCAGATATGCAGCCCCTCGTGTGGGTGTTGCGTGGTGGTCCAGGGGCTGGGAAGAGTTTCGTCGTCGACAAAATCCGGAAGGAACTGTTCGAGAAAGAGATGGGGTGGACGCATGACATGAACTTCCAGGTGGCCGGTTTGCAGGCGACGAACGCGTCGGCGCTCGACGGGAATGCAACCCGCAGTGCTTTCGGAACCGGTGTGAACAGCACGAAGGGGCCGCGTGGTGGAGGCGATGCAAGCGCAGAGTCGAAGAAGAAGACGAACAAGGAATTGGCTGCGCAACGTATGTCGCAGTGGAAGTGGCTGATAGTGGACGAGGTGAGCACGGTCAGCGCAAACTTCATAGCAGAGCTCGGTTCGCACTTGCGGTCGTGCATGTCAGCTGCAAGGGACACAAAGGTACGTGGAGACGGCGTGCCCACGCCCTTCGGGGGCGTGGATGTGTTGTTCTGCGGGGATTTCTCTCAACTGGAACCGCCGTCGGGAACGGCCATTAATCCGCTTCCCACATCGTATTTGAAAAACGCCAGGAAGTACGCGCCAGGTGCTACGGAGGACCACGGGCAGTATATATATTGGGGCGCTGGAGGCGAAGGGGCAGCGCAGGGAATGACAGAGTTGGCGGAGTGCAAGCGCGTGGAAGACCAAGACGATTGGTTTCTCGCAGTGCAGGACGAACTTCGTCGAGGAGCGTTATCTGAACGCACGCGCGGTTTTTTGCATGGCAGGCCGACGGATGTGCCGGGGTCGCGGGTTTACGGTGCACCGTTGTGTGGGAACGCGCGTTGTGTAGCAGACGCAGCGGCAATTGCGGAGCAGAGCGGGCTAGAGTGTGAGAGCTGCAGAGTTGAGCGAGAGAAGAGGAAGCTCGTCGCGACGTCGCCAGAAGATGTGCGATTTCGGGAGGAAAGATTCCTTGAAGCCGTCGCCATTTATGCGAATCATGACATTCGTTGTCACGTCGGGAAACAGAGGGCAGTGCAGTGGGCCAAGGAGCGAGGATAACAGCTCCTGTGGGTCGCAGCCAGAGGCCGCCCTTGCCATGGGGGGGAACAGAGGCGGCCGTGCACGGTGGAGGATAGGATACGGTGGCTGGGGTACCACGACAAGGAGTGCGCAAGCTTGCCCGGGTGGCTACCGCTGGCCAAGGGAATGCCCGTGGCTTTGGGAGATCACTTGGATCGGTCGAAGAAGCAGCTTCTGCGGGGGCGCCGAGCGACGATCCATGGGTGGGTGTTGCACGAGGACGAGGTCGTGGGAGATGAAGACGAGGAGGTGTTATTGCATCTGCCCGGGGTGATTGTGTTGGACTTCCACGCGAAGGAGTGGCACCTGCCAGGCTGGGGGCCAGGTCTGTATCCGATCTTTCCCATCGAGAGGCCGGAATTGGTTCTTGGGCGGATATCGGAAGCACCGAGTGTTGAGTGTGAAACGCACCCAAATTATGATAAACCCAGCTTTGGCAGCGACGGCGCACTCAGCGCAGGGCCGGACCATGGGGGCAGTGATGGCGGACCTTGAGCGAGGGCGCGGCGTGAGTTGGATGTCAATTTACGTTGCCGTCGCTCGCGCGCGCAGACGAGCGGGCCTGCTGATCTTCCGGCCTTTTGATAGGGCGCCGCGCAACGCAGGTGAGATGGCGGGGGCGAAACAACTCTTGCAGGTGCGACGAGGGGAGAGCGTGGATTGGGATGAATGGGAAGCGGAACTAATGCCACGAGACCAGTGCGAGCGCTGCCGCCGGAGGTTGCTGGTAGAGGCGTTCACGAAGTCCGAGTTCCAGAGGAAGGAAAGGCCAGCGTTCTGCAAATAATGCACGGAAGAGATGAAACGCGCCGACGGAAAATGGTGCACAACGTGCAAAAGGTGGGCAACGAGAGCGGAGGGGGAAGATGCGGCGCGGCATGGTATCGGTCGGAACGCGGGCGCAGCGGCCGGCGACGGGGAGACGAAAAGGATTCGAACAATGTGCTGCTCGAAATGCAGGCATGTCAAAGCCAAGCAGAAGTCGCGGAGTGGCAGCGCGAAGTGGAAGGACAGCGTTGGCACTGTGCGATGTTCGAACGAGAAGTGCCTCTCGCTGTGCGACGAGAAGGCGGACATGCCGGACGCACAGAATAAACACCACGCAGCAGGGGGCAGGCTGTGTCGGATATGCGCGGAGGAACGAGAGAACGAGATACGACGGGGGAATGCGGAGGCAGCGAATCGCAAGCGGAAAGCCGAAGCGGACGCGAAGCCACTGACGTGCGCGGCGTGCGGAGGAGCGTTCTCAGACACGAAACATTTGAAGCGTAAGCCAGTAAATCATCATCGAGCGGCGACAGGAGCCAAAATCGTGTGCGAAGTCTGCGTATAACTCGGGTTCACAGCCCGCAGTTGACAGGCGTATCAATGCAGCGGTGCGTGCAAGAGAACGCTGCCGAAGTCGGCGTTCCCCGACCCTACCCATGTCGCGCGCGACGCAAAGAAGGGCACCCTGAAATGCAAAACGTGCAAGTGATGCCCAATCGGGCTCGCGTACAGGTGTGGCGGAGGATCGGGGGGAGAAGAATCGAAGAGGGTGAGAATGAACCGGGGGAGGAATAGGAGGAGGGGAGCGAGGAGGGGGTGGAGGAGGAGGAGGAGGAGGGGGGCGCTGAGATGAGGCTCTGGGTTATGGGTCATGGTGTAGAGGCTTCTTGTATGTATATCGGGATCTCGCGGCACGCCTCTCGGAGCCGTTTGGAAAGCAGTTGTGAAGCCACTTGAGGGCCGAGGTGGAGGAGGAGGGGGAGGAGGAGGAGGGGGACACAGCGAGGAGGCTCTGGGTCATGGGTTATGGGTTAGAGGCTTCTTGTATGTGTATCGGGATGTCGCGGCGCGCCTTTCCGGGGCGTTTGGAATGCAGTTTTGAAGCCATTTGGGGGGCCGTTTCGGAGCTCTGGGGGGCCTCTGGGGGGCTTTTTGGGGGTTCCTTGGGGCGTCTTGGGGGCCTCTTGGGGGCCTCTGGCGGCCTCTTGGGGCACTTTTGCGGCCCCTTGGGTCTCCTGGGGGCGGGAAGCTAGATTTTTTTGAAATTTTGGTTGCCCTCTTGGGCCCCTCTTGGTGCCGTCTTGGAGCCCTCTTGGGCCGTCTTGGGGAGCTCTGAGGCGGTCTTGGGGCCCTCTTGGGCCGTCTTGGGACCGTCTTGATGGCGTCTTGGGCTGTTTTGAGGCTGTTTTTGGCGCCTCTTGGGCCGTCTTGGGGCGTCGGGAAGCCGAAAAGGCGAAAAAGCACAAATCACAGAAGACACAATGGAACATCATCAGTTTTCGCCTCTCGAAGCCCTGTTGGGAGGCTTCTTTGGGAGCTCTTGGGCCGTTTGGGAGACGTCTTGGCCCATCTTGGGGCTATCTTGGATGTCTTGGAGCGCTTGTTTGGCGTCTCGGGGCCCTGGTGGGCCGTCTTGGAGGCCTCTTGGGTCCTTCTTGGCCGTCTTGAGGTCCTCTCGGGCCCGGAAAAGCCGCGTGGCGCGCTCGTGGTCGGCCCAGGGGGGGGTCAAATCTCCGGTTTGGGGTCCCGGGGGGGGGGGGGGGATAGGGGGGGGGGAGCTATCACACACGCCTAGAGACCCACAAGGGGTCGGCGGATTAATTCATACCGTAGTGTGCGTGTGTGTATATATGGCAGGGGCGTGGCGGCACACCAGCCTCTTCCCCGGCGCGCTCCCCGTCTTACCCCCAGGCCGTCCGGGACGCCAGTCGGACGACCAACGGAGACAGCGGCTGTCCGCGCGACGGACCAGCAGACGACCACGATCTCTCGTCAGCTGTGCGGGCAGCACGGGCCGTCCAGGAGATCTTTTCGCACCCTTGGCACCTCCCTCCAGCGAGGCTCCCCAAAAGACTCACTGGGCCTATACCTCGTGCGGTCACCCTCCCAGAAAGATGGCAATGGGAGGTCCAAGGTAAAGCGAAGAAGCTATATCAGGTCTTCGAGATCGGGCAGTACGCACGGCTGGAACCCGTGGACGACGGGTCAGCCAGGAACAGGTTGGAGCTCCGCAAGCGGCGAACCTTTGCACTAGACGTCTCCATCCTGAAACACACCCCAGTCCGCCTTCACCGGCTGGTCCAGGACTGGAAATTCCAACACCTGGCCCTCATCGTCTCGCGCAGGTCTCCTGCCACAGCAAGGCTGGCAGATGTCAAGCCTATATGGCTGCCCTTCCCCAGCGCCCCAACTCGGGACCACCTAAGCAGGCGCTTCCCCAGCAACGGCGTAATCGCCGTGTTTGTCGCCAGGAAGGGCCATGTGGTACACTGTGCCACCACAGCCGCATACATGTCGACAAGACCGGACGACCCTTGGTACCGAATCGACCGCGCCCATCCGCAAACGTAGAGCTTCAGGGTTAGGGCCGCCGTCTAGGACATGTTCATGTTGATCGCCACCCCAAAATCTCTGTGGGGGACCGCCCTTTCGGCAATGCCATACGCCTTGGCCTTTCGGAGCGCAGACATCGCGAACAAAGAGACCGCCAATCTGGCCAGTAATATGACCGAGGCGGGTAGCGTGCTGCGCGCACAGGCTGCCGCCACACTGCACGCTCCCATCCCGGACCCAGTCGACCCCACTGGCGGACCAGATGTTGCTGCGCGCGCTCCTACGGACGGCGAGGTGGAGCGTTGTCTTGGGCACATCTTCCAGATAACGCTCCCCCCCCCAGCCCCGAGACAATCGTCGTGGTCTTGGATGTGTGGCTACCGTGCACCCCCCAGATTGGGCGATTGGCCTCTTGTCGGGCTCTACCAAGGGGGCGGACATGCCTGCCAAGTACCTAGCAGACGCCAAGGCAAGCGGGAGGTCAAGCCAAGGAGCAGGTTTCCCAGACCAGGCCGTGCGGCTGGCCCACGAAGAGAAGGTGACCAACGCAGAAGCCCACGCCCTCATCCCGATTGCGTGCTTTGTAAAAGAGAGGGAGGATAGCAACCCCTCTCTGACTCTAGCAGGAAGACCTTCTCCAGGCACAGGAAAGCGCTAGTCAACCAGGCTAAGCTCATCCTGGCCACGCACGAGGTTGCGGCAGACCTGGACGGCCCCAACAGCCTTAATATGCTCCTGGGCATCCTTAACGAGGCAGGGCACTCGACATAAGCCCTATCCATCCTCTCGTTGATGCTGCTGGTCCGCAGTGGAGGCCGAGCAACCATCTGCGGCGACGAGAACCAGCTCCACCCCGCAGGCATATCGGACCGAACCGCGGCGATGGGCATGTCCCTCTCGGTCCTCAAGCGCTTCCGCGACTCCCTAGGGGCCAATCCAACCTACAACGTGCTCCCCGACCGCTGTTTCCGCATGCGCCCTAGCATCTTGCAGTGGCCATCTCACTGATTCTACGAAGACAGGCTCGTCTCGGGACTAAGCAGCTGTATTGCCCCGAAGCGCCGGATACAGGGACTCCCGTGGCGCGAGGCCAGGCCGCTCTCGCATGGCGAATTGCAGGCCTGCGGCGGCGGGGGCACGAGGGCGAGCGCCTCCCTATCGGCGCTGGAGGATTTCGGAACCCTGTCTGCGGAGCGCCCGCAGGCGACCGTATTCGCGTGCTCCTGGTGCACGAGAGGTCAGCCGAGGTCGCGTCGGACCTGGCAGAAAGCATTGCTAACCTAAGGGGGGCTGCGTCGGCGTGCGGCATCGGTGAGGCCGCTGAGAACCACTTCCTGAAGCGCAATGCATGTCCCGGTTCTCTGCGTTTATCAGATGCAGCCAGTCTTCGTCCATAAGGGCTGGCCCATTGGCCCCAGACCTTCCTCCAGTCCTATCGCCTGGGCAAGGGCAAGACGAAGTGGATGGGCGGATCCAGCGGGAAAGACGCGCCATCTGGATCGCGTGGCGCCGCGCCCCCTCAGTTCCCCGGCCTGGGAACGAGGCAGGGGCATGAAAAGGGGCACCTAGTGCAAGCGCTTGCCGCCGGGCACCCAGCGTCCACAACGTCCTCCAGCCGAGCTTTTTGGGCCCTGAGGCGCGATCTCCGCGGCTTTTGCATGGGGGGCCCATTGCCGTCGCCACCGTTGACGGCGGCCATGGTGACGAGGCCGCCCTTGGACTGCTGTGCGCAAGCCTGGCCGACGAATGCGGTTAGTGGGATTTCGTCGACGACCTTCGCGGGATCGACGTGGGCTTCGCCGGCGCCCAGGATGGGATCGTGGCGGTCATGGGCGGGCGCGTGCGCAGTGCAGCCGCGGAGTCCCAGATGAACCTTCTGGCTGCGTGGGCAGCGAAGAACGGGTTATGGGCCAGTTCCGGGGCGGCCCCAGCTCCAGACACATGCTCATAGAGACTCCAAGCGTCAACCTTTCTCGACTGCAGCAGGGCCCATTCGGAGGGGATGCCCCCCCATGGGCCCCGGAGGAAAAGGCGCGAATCGAAGCAGGGCTCGCGAGACGGGCCCGGGAGAAGAGATTGCTAAAGGTGCAGGAGCAGCGCGCCCTGGGGTTTGAGAGCATGTGCAACGGCCTGCTCCCGGCGGACTTCAGCTGGGATGGGCTGGCAATGGGCCTCCAAGCGACGGGCGCCGCTTTGCTGATTGGCCCAGTGCTGGCCCCAGTCCATTGCTGCGTCCGCAGCCTCCACCCCCGCATCTACGGCCCTGGGGGCACTCCTGTCGACTTCTACTAGCCCTGCCGAAAGATGGTCAGCCACGACGGCTTCCTCTACCACCTCGCGCTGTGCCTGGGCCCGCCTATCTACTTATACGCAGAGACCTCGGCATGTCTCTTGCAACTCTCAGGGCCCCAGCTGTGCAGCAATCGCGACAAGGGTATCTTGGGTGGTAGATTTCTGCCGGAGCCGAGGCGATCCAGAGGGCGCAACCGATGGGTGCAGAGAGTGACCTCTTGCCTCCCAGCCAGCGCATCCAGGCAGCCGCCAGCGGCTTGGAGCGGCGCCACTTGCGAGTGTAACCGACGCCAGGACTGACCCACCGTCGAGCGCCAGCGCGCTCGTGCAGCCCCCTGACAGCCGCGCCCGCAGGTCCCGCAACGCGCTGAAAGGTCCCGACGGGCCCCCCATCAGATACGCGTGGGCGCACGGCGTGTTTGCCTTGTTCTGCTGCTTATCCGTGAGCCCAACCCCTTAATGGCGCTACGTGCAAATCCTGGCCTCGTTGGCGACGCCTTTGAAGCGGCATCGGGATTATGCGACCCATTCAAAAAGGCGCAACTGCCCGTGAGAGACAGCTTCGGCCAAGCGCACGGAATCACAGGGCAAGAGTTTCGAACGCTGCACGGCCACATCGAAGCCTTCATCAGGGCTGCCTCGCGCCTGGTCGCGGCCGCCCACCGCCGCGACGCCGCCAAAGAGCAGCGCGGCGCGAGCGCGTGGGGCGAGCTGCTGGCCCTAGATCTCCCCATTGACGGGCGCCCTGGCGGTTCTAGACCAGCTCGCTACTTCGGCTGGCCTGTCCGTGCTGGACGGACGACAGTGCGCCGTGTGCGCGCTCCTTCTGGGCCTGGCTGGCTCCGAGGTCGGGCCCCTCCCCGCCTCGCAGCTCCGACCCAGGCCCAGTGCATTGGCAGCGGGCAGACCAGCAGCGGGCGCGAGCTGCGCGGGCCGCCCCCAACGGGATCCCTCCCCGGGTTTGCGCTCGACCCCCCAATGCTGGACCTCGGAGACGCCGGGTTTCAGCCTGCCGCCCAGCTCATCAGATATGGTGCGCCGACTGCTCGCGAGGCCCTCTCGACCCCGAAGGCGGCGCCTGGGTTGGCCCAGACATCCGTGGGGCCCTGGCCGCTGATGGGTCTGCGCCCTAGCCGTAGCGCGTGCAAGCACGGGGTCAACTGCTGATGGGTTTACGTCCCTTGTTGGAGAGCCGATTAAGAGGCCAAAGGAGAGCCGATCCCGCGGGGCGCCAAGCTGGCTGACTTCCCGCGCGAACTAGCCCAACGGCAGCCAGCTGCGCCCCGCTCCATGGAGCCGGAGCCACTGCCAGCGAAGGGGCAGGTCGCTCTCCCCGACGCCGACGCACCCCTCTGGAGGCTCCTGCTGCCTCGAGAGATACAGAACGATCCAGCCACCGTCGCTGGCGCAATCCCTGCCCGGCGCACCAGGTGGAAGAGCTGATGCGATCGCTGTCCCGAATCGGCCCCGCTGCGCCAGTGGGGTCGCGGACGGCGACCGCTGGGCATGTTCGTCTTCCGCCCTGCCGATCCTGGCCCCGAGTCTCCTGCGCAGGGCCTGCCGCGCAGGGCCTGCCGCCCTTCGCGGAGTCGAGGACGCGCGCTTTTCAGGCCATGCAATGGAACGCAACGTGGTTTTTCCGGTGGTGTTTGGTCGACCTCTGGAACGCGCGGCCCTCGGACGTGGTCGAAATTCTAAGCAGCGACGGCGTCGAGGCATGCCCAGACCCCCCGCCTAGGCGTCAGTGGGGGCCGGCGCCTCCAGCATCTGCCGGAGACCCGCTCCCGGGGAAGCCGCCCGCGCCCGCGCGAGGTATCCTCCACCTCGCGGATTCGCGGGGCCAGGAGTGGATGCGCGAGGCGCTCGCTGCAGAGTTGAGCCCCCGTGGGGCGTGGAAGAACGCCTGGGTCGGCGATCCTGCCCAGGCCGCCGGCGGTCAGCCACTTGGGAAAGCAGAGCGGGCGCTAATCGCCGTGCAGTCGGCGTGGCGCGGACAAGGCCGCGCCGAGCCCGCCGACCTCGATCGCGCTGGCGGCCAGGGAGGGGCCCGCCCGCCCTCGCGCGCAGCCACTCCCCAAATTCAAAGACGGGGTCGCGTGAAGACCGAGGAGGTGGGCCCCGGGACCGCGGCCGCCCCTCCCCAAGGGTCCGGCCACAGAAACCAGCCAGCGCGCAGTCAGGGGGGGCGCAACCAACAACTTGGAGTTGCTGGCCCCAACCGCAAGGGCAAGGACCAACCCTCGCGTGCCAAATCGCCTTCCGCAGCATCCGCGAGCAGAAGGGGCGGGGGGGGAATTGGGAGCGAACGGGGCAGCCGCCGCCCAGAAGGCACAGACCGCGCCCCACCGCCCGACGGAGGGCGACGGCGAAGCCGCGCGCCAGTCCCAGGGGGCTCGCGATAGACATCAGAACGCAGCAGGCCCAGCCCCTTGCAGATAGGGCCCGGAGCCAGGGCCCCCGACCAAAGTGGAGCGACGGCGTCCCGGTGGCAGGCGACGGTGCGCCCCCCGCCCGGGAGATGGGCCCCCCGGCCCGCATGGGCACCGGGGCTCCCAGCGTTCTGCCCCAGACCCCCATGCCCAGGCAGGCTTCCGCAGACGCCTCCCTGGACGAGCTTGACAACGACGGCCTAGTGGACTTCGTGCAGTTCGTCAGAGTCAGTTTCGGCCCGTCAGTCAACCAGCGCTGGATCAATCACTGCGCGCAACTCTTTAGCGAGGGCAGCATGGCGCTGGCAGATCAGAATCGGACCTTCCCTGGCACCTTTCTTAGAAGCTTATTGGGAAACGGGCAGCTGACGGGCGAGGGGCCTACTAGCCTAAACGACGGGTCTTGGCACAGCACTTGCCGCCAGTTCATGCTCGCTCACCTGTTCGCCTGCGCAGCAGGCAGGCGCCCCTCTCAGTGGGGCGACTGCGCGCCCGCTCTCCCCAAAGGCGTCTCCGCGGCACCCTCCCTAAAGCAGGCGGATGCCCTGCTGGGGTTCCTACGCAGGCTAGCAATGCTGCAGGCTGGCGTCGCGTGGCATGCCTGCTCCCTGCTGCGCAGGGGAGGCGTTGTCTCCCCCCTGGCCGACCTTGTCCACGCCAGAGGTGTCCTTCTCGACCTTTCCAATCTGCCCCCAAGGTGCTTGCCTCATCAGGCGCCAGGGGCGCGCTCTCAATCGGAATGGCAACCTCCTCGAGCAATGCCACTCCTACCTAGGGTCCGACCATCCCTGGTTGCTCGCGAGCCTGGGCAAGAACCCAAACAGGTGCAGCCGACGGCGCCTCGCGAGATTCCTCGCCATGCAGGGGGTGCGGGGCTTGTGGTCGCTGCAGGGCAGCGCCGCCGCGGCCAAAGCACCGCCCCGGCAGAGGCCCCCGTGGGCGCCCTGGGCCGAGGGCGGACAACAGCGCGGCAGACGTCGCACCTGCCGCATGGTTGGAGGCGCAGCCCGCCAGCCATGCACCCTCCGACGCAGCGCCGCCCAAGCCCCCCCCTGCCCAGGAGGCTCGCCCAATCGCCTCGTTGCCCCCTGGTCAGAAGACGTCCGTTGGAGGCGGCGAGGTGGAGGTCGACCATTCGCCGAGCCTTCCTGACGGCAGCCCGCGGGGCGCCGCCCTCCCAGATCGAGGTCCCCGGGCGCGCCCCGGCGCGGAGCCTCGCGGGGCCGACCGCGGCCGGGCGGCACAGTCTGGGAACGCCAGTTCCGGCGCAACGAGCAACTGCGCGACGTGGGGCGGGGCCAAGGGAAAGGCCGCGAACCCTGCTGGCAAAGACAAGAGACGCGCCGACCCCGCCTGGCCCAATAACGATCGATCGAGGCCGCGCCGCCCCGACCCGTCGGGCCTACCTGGCCTCCAAGGCCCTCGGCATCACGGCCGCGCCAGGCAGCGGCCAGCGCCGTGCGCCGAGCACCGGGCTTCCCCGCGATGTCCTCCTCGACGGCCAGGGTCGCCAGCGCGGGAGTCGACCTGGCTGGCGCCCCGGCTCAGCGCCCCCCCCCCCCCCCCAGGTCAAGCGCGTGGCCCACGGCCCTGCGCTGCCCTCTGCTACAGAGCGCGGGTCAGGTGCCCGCAGAGCTGCCGCGTACTGCGCACCCAGACAGCCCGTGGAATTCAACTGCTTCTGCCGTAGTGTCGCTCGCGCAGGCTTCCGCGGCACC